GATAATTTTCAAAAACAGTGGGTGTGATATACCCTGTTACTTCTTAAATTCTTCTCAATATCTATGGACACTGGCACTTACCCTAGTGAGTGGAAAACTAGCTTCATAATTCCACATTACAAATCTGGTGATAGGGCAAACGTCCGCAATTACAGACCCATAAATATAACCCCAGTTATCTCACGAATCATGGAGAAAGTTGTAAAGATCAATTGTCAGACTACCTAATTAGGGAAGATCTTGTTACAAGGTCTCAACACGGATTTCTCAAAAATAGATCCTGCGTTACTTGCCACTTCGACTTTTTCAACTGCATCACTAGTAATCGCGAAGCACGTAAGCTAGTCGTTGTTCTCTACTTCGATATATCTAGGGCATTTGACATGGTATCTCACAGTATTCTCTTTGAGAAGCTGTACTCTTGTGGAATTCGCAACCCATTACTGAACTGGTTAAAATCATTTCTAAGCAACAGGGTACAAATAACCAAAGTTGGATCTGTATTGTCTCATCCTAGGCAGATCTCAAGTGGGGTCGTGCAAGGTAGTGTCCTAGGTCCACTTTTATTCACAGTTTACATTAACAGCATTTGCAAGTGCTTCACCTCAGGTAAACCATTCCTATATGCTGACGACCTCAAAGTCGTCTACTCCTGCTACACTCATGAATTAAGCGATATGGTTACTAAAATACATCTTGAACTAAGTAGCCTTGCAACGTGGTGTGCTGAATCCTGTCTAAATTTTAACATTGACAAATGCGGCTGGATTTGTATCGGCAACAGTAAGCTTGATCTAACTCTTGAAATAAATGGGCGAAAACTAGCTAAGCTCAACTCAGTCGTAGATCTCGGTATTAGATACTCTAGTAACCTAACGTTCGCTGAACAGACTGATTATGCCAGACGTAAAACGCGAAGGCTGATAGGATGCATAACACGCAATTTCTTTTGTTGTGAAACTAGGGTTTTATTATACAAAGTATGTGTCCGACCTATCTTAGAATACTGCCCGTTTATTCTTAGCGGACTAAGACAAAATGACAAGCTTAAATTAGAGGGAGTGCAACGGCAGTTTACCTCAAGAACTCTTGGTTTAGAAAGTGGTCTGGAATACCATGAGCGATGCGAAAGACTAAGATTAGAACCCCTCTGGAAAAGACGCCTTAAGCTAAACCTTATCTTTTACTATAAGCTAACTAATCTTCTCTTGCATTCCTCCGAGCCAATAACTAAACCTACCGCTGTCATCAGTTACAATCTTAGAAATCATCACAACCTAGCTGCTATGGAGCACTGTCAGACTTACGTGCGGTACAACTTCTTCTTAAATAAGTTTTCAGTCATTTGGAATAGACTACCAGCTAATGTGCGCGATGCAAACACACTTCCAGTGTTCATCTCCTCAGTCACCAGACTGCTCAAAGATGACAATGCACTTTTGCGCCTGACTCTTACACCTCTTTTTCACCCTACATAGATATTTTAAGTTCTTTAAACGTGTAGTTACAACAAACTACAATTATAAATTTTAATATTATTGGAACTAGATGATTAACATTTCTACACAGGACAGTAATATTAGTTCACACATAATATAAAAGTTAGCATAACGGGACTAGTTAGTTTGTGTACCAAAATAACCACAGTTACTAAACAGAATATATATGTATATATTTATTAATCACTCCTTAAGGACTCCCGTTGCTTTCTTTTGCGTTGCTGTTGTTTGTCTTCTTTTTTCTCTCACCATTTCAGCTTCCATTTGACTTTTTGAATGAGAATGAATAATGTGGATATTTGACCATTTACAATGACAAATGATCTGCAAACATTATTGGTCCCGTATCTTTCAGTTGCCTGGTTAATAACGAATTAACTTTCTCCACGACGCAACCTGGATTACATTTGTGGATTACATTTGTGGAATATACTCTTATACCAATGGAAAAGTATCAATTTGTAATACAACGTCACGATTGTAGCTTATAACATAACTGATCGTATCTGTAAAAATAGCTTCCTTATTACCCAATTTGGATATAAATCAAATCAAAAATGAGATTCGGATTTGTACACACCCAAGTTATATTGAGGAATTACTTCAAGCTTTATTTTTTCCCAAGTATTTTTAATCCATCCAAAACTTACTTGGGTTTTTTTGTTAATGCGAAGTTAATATTCCTATATTTCATGACGTGCTCCATTGAATGACTGGTTATCATATTGTTCCCACAGACCTAAGACAAAAACGCCAGCAACCATGTAACTTAACCATAAACCAAATTTATGAAATTTATATAATGCTTATCCATGCCTGTATATTTGGTGTGTCCTACACAAGTAGGAAAAAATGTGTATTTTATTAAAACATTATTATTAATTATGATTGCTAATCGTATATGTAATTTATCATATTGATGATGCCTGTAAACTGGCGTCTCTCATGTACAAAATGAGAATATACTATTATTATTATTATTATTATTTGTTCACAGACCTTAATAGAAATATTTTTTATATGTTGGAGTTACAATAAAAAATTCCCAAGCGGCCAATCGGTGTTTTGGTTTTTCGTCCGTTATAACTAAGCGTTTCAGAAAAACTGCTGGGAACAGCGTGGGCCCGAGCGTAGCAAGAGCTGGGCATTAACGGTTTATGAGACGTGACTGACAACATTTGTTGCTGTATGATGGAAATTGTATTTTTGTACTGTGATAATTCAGCTTCGTTTTCAAATGACAGTCTACATCTTTACCCACTGGAATAGTTTTTGGTCTTCTGAAGAACTGGCTACCAGAAGAACAGTCGTGAGTGGCCAGTATGTCACTCCATAGTACGCACTGCGCTAACTGAGATCGGTGGTTTCACAAGACATGTTTCAGGAGTATTCAAGCCTTGCTACAAGCCTCTCACACGCTGTGTAAAAGCTACTGTAAATCAAAAGAACACTTCATAAACACGTCTATCTTTATGCCTAAAGTGACGCTGGTGCATCCTGAAAACAAAGGTCTCTCATCACGAAAGAGCAAAACCAGTAGTCAGATATCCAGGATGATGCTGTTTGCCTCACCGATAAGTGAAGTTGTAGCTGCTACAAAACCCTGGCTTCGATGCGCCTAATGATGTGAAGAGAAGAGGTGAGGTGAAGGTCCTCAAAACACAGTGAAGGTTTTCGCATAACCTACACTAACCTCAGACACCGTAGTTCCGTCTCCCATCATAGCCTGCGTGGATCGTAATCAATCACTACCAAAGTCAAGTGAAGAAGAAGGCATCAATGAACGTCGAGATGAAGTCCCTCATAAAAACCTAGACCCAATCAGGTCCAACCTTATCTCCCTGACAAGTCGATCATTTTCCATAGAGTGAAGGAATAAGGCGAACCAGATCCTTAAGCCAAGTCCGGACACAACATCAGTGAAACCACACCTATTGCAGATAAGATATTCCGCAGTCTCTACAGAGAAACCTTGTTAAAATGGGTTCTCGGGTGTTGAAAGTCTTAAGTTCTATGGTTCCAAAATATTCCAGGTTAATAGATTAGTCACCTTAATGGCTGCTTCACTAATAGACGCAATCTGTTCAACAAACGGACCTAATTTCAATAGCCTGTTTGACTCGGATGTTGTTGACATTACTTAATCCTACCTAACATTTGGAACCAGTGATTTTGCAGTAAACTTAAAAATCTTCATCGAGTATAAGACAGATCAATTAATTCACAAATGTGCGGCAGCTGTTAGTCATATACCTTAAGGATGGTGTAGTTTTGCTCGACAGAATCTAGAGCACGGGAAAGAGGGTCATACGAACTTCAACTCCGCAGGCTCCAATTTCATTGGTCAGATATTGTATAGGCTGCTTGAACGACTCCAGCCTCATTCCCTGCTAGTTTCCACCGGAAATGCCATCGGTGACAGCTGTGTTGCCGCTTATCCTACTGGACCTGAGCTTTGGCCACATTGCCTGCCGACTTTTCAGACTAACCTACCTAACTTCATGACAAAGCTTACCGGAATGCAGCCCAAGGTAGTGAAGGGAGAAAGGAACACTTACGGCTTCTAAGAAGCGTAATTATTAACGATGATGTGAAGAGAGCATAGACATATACAATCAGACTACAACGTAGCAACCGACCTGTCGTCCCTTGAAAATCCATCTAACTATAGAGTGTTTCAGTCCTCACAGATAAAGAAATTGATCGTTCGTGGTGAAACCATAAATGTTCAACTAATTTGTGAAATCTTTTTGATCCCCTACGGTCTACTTCATTACAATACATTGCAGTCTCGGTAGTATAACAGACACATGGAGTTGGCGAAATGTGTTCGCGAAGAGTTCAAGGGAACACTACTCTCGTAAATCCTAACAAGACCCAAGCTTGAAGGAGTTAACGGTTTCAATATGTATGTACCACACCATAGAGAAGAGACAGAACCAGAATGTTCTTACTTGCAACATATACCTACATATCTTTTCCCTGATCTTCCATCAGGTCGATGCATATTGAAGAACCCAGCAAGAAAATTCAAAGACCAAGGAAGAAATAAGTGGCTGTTGAGGACTGGCACTGAGGCACACACTTGGAAGGGACTTCCAGAAACAAATGATGTCTGTCACCCAAAAAGATAGATAGAAAAAGGGATTACGTAGTTTCGGATGCTGATCAGAGGATCAATAATATAAGACGAGGCCTTCAATCGTAAATCAAAAATCTGAAATCTGAATTCTTGAAACTACAGTTTATCTTACTATAAAATAAATGTCTGTATGGATACTGAAACCGAATACGATCATAGAGCCTGAAGACAGCTTAGATTTTCTACCATATGTCTTAATCAACGGGGAAAGTGAAATAATTTATTTTTCTTAAAACCCACCATTACGTGCTTTTCACAGGTCGCACGCGCATTTCCCGCCTGTTTTGAGAACTGTCCTTGAGCGTTCCTGTAATGTGCTAGATCTAGGTTATTTTACCATTCTACCAGCTTTATTGTTGATGGATAATTCTCAGGTTTACAGTGACGATGTTGTAAACATTGCAAATTCTCTGTTGAATGACTTGAAGGTTGTACTTTCGAATAGTAATTATTGTTTTTCAGAATAGCTATCAAACTTGGGAAGACCTTGTATCAAAATGTGGGAAATTTCACTCAGCTTTAAAGTAACATTGTTAAATTCTTGAATATTGTTTTCTCAGAGCTGCGACGCAGGCGTCATCTGCCTTCCTTGATGCCTTTCAGAAAGTGGCCGACTTAGCAACAAAGACCTATGGTGGTAGTAAAGAAATTGGTGCTTGTCTTACTCGATATTGCATGCGTCAGAAAAGTCTTGAATCTAAAGTGAAGTCCATGAGCAAGTAAGTGTTGCCAAAGTATCAGAGTTGCATCACCAATCGAAAGTGTGAACTGCTCCTCATCAACATCGTATTTATTTGTTCTGACTTACGATCTTCACCTTCGTGAACTCTGACAACTGTTTCTCGTAAAATTTAGAATTTAACGTTTCGAAGCATCTCTCGTGATTCAGTATGATGAACCTCGTGATTCTAGCTCATCCAAAAATAATCTTTGTTTTCTTTTAGACAGGATACTGTTCATTCATATGATTTACTTAAACTCAACAGTTCGGTATCTAAAGCGATTTTTGTTTCAAACAATCATCTTAGTTTGGTTCAAGTCTCTTTTATCGTGTTTCTTGCACTTACCTCAAAATTTTAAACTTTGTTACCTGTTTGTTAGAATGGGGTTGGAGACCTCTCCATGTGGGAACTTGTTAGAGCTAACTAGTTTGTTGAATTGCTTAATCCTCGTTCTCTGACAGCTCTATGCCATTCAAATATTTTTCTTAGATTTTATTTGTATGTGTCAAGGAGCTTAACCCTGATGCTGTTTCTGATGTTTAGCAGATTAAATTATGTTTTTGAGGATAGATCACAATCCTCCTTGTGGTAATAGCCGATTGCTAAAGGTGTATTGGAATGATGCTCGCCTGGGGTAGTTACCCTATTTTAATTCAAGGTTTTACTACGCTATAAGCATTTCGTCACCTTCCACCCACATACCTCTGTTTTTACAATGCTTTGGTTTTTATTGAGTCTATCTTTAGATGATGTTTAGTATTTGGCGATAAGCAGTTTATGAAACTTTATTTGTGGTTATTTTCCTGGATTATTATTTTCTTTGCTAGTGTTTACTTATAAGTAACTGCACTGTTCTTGTTTTTATCGTAGTAGTCAGTCAGCAGTACATTAGCATGCATCACGCTCGATAGGGTACGTATTATTTCTCAAGTTGGGCATTCCGATCCCCCCTGCCGCTTATTAATTTCTGCCTGAAGAGAGGGTGTGAAATTTTTCGTTTTTGAGATGCGGATTGTTCGCACACATTTGGTGTGTATCTTAATGTAAAGTAGATCACAGGGGATATACCCTAGTTGCTTCGTTTTCCCGACCTATGTTATCAAGTTTCTGTCGAATGAGCATTCATTTTAGCTGCAAAACATACGACCGAAAGCTGCTACCTTGACGTGGTGGTCGGGCTTGAACACCGCAATGACCTAATCAAGCTATACTGGCTGAGACTTATGTCTCTTGAGGTTCTACCATGCCAGGCAGGTTGTTTGGATAGCGGTTAAACAAAAAGCAGCTACCTCATCCAATACCATGATCCAAACAAATTCACAAAATTTCATGCCGGATCGGCCGTGGCCCGGATTAACAACGACCGCGCTTCCTGCTGCCGTGTCACAGGGCGGGAGTGATAAGTATGCTACTGAGGCACACAAAACAACGAAGAACGAACAAAAACAGGCCGCGTGTGACCGGCCACAAGCAGTTGTCCCCTGGGCTCTGCGGTCACGCAACCAACTTCCACGGTGTGGGCAGCCGGGAAGTAACAATCGCCCTCACAATCCGAAACGCACACAAAACCTCTCTAATCCTCACTTATCTTTGTCTTCATCTTCATCTCTATTACCTTACCTTCCCCCAGTGATGCAACTCCTCTACTTGATGGCTCCTCACTCCCTCTTCACTCTGTGTCCACTAAAAACGACGAAAGCCAAAAAACCACCACGGATAGTCTCCTAAAGCCACGCCACCAATTTCATATAGGAGCATTTAATGTAAGGACACTTTGCCAAATAGGACAACAAGCATCACTAGCTAAGACCCTGGCATCTCGAGCCATTGATGTATGTTGTGTTTCAGAAACACGCATACAAGACCCAAGTGTGGTTATTCACCTAACCCCACCTGGCCAACAGGATGAATCTTCAAAATTCACCTTGAGGGTGTCAGGAGATGCCACAGCTAGTTCACGGGGATTAGCTGGCGTAGGGATAGCTCTGAGTACTAGGGCAGAAAAGACATTGCTTGACTGGATCCCAGTAGATAGCCGAATGTGTGCTGTCCGTCTGAACGGATCAGTAAGAAGGAGAAAGGACTGCACTACTCGCCGATGCCTTTTCGTAATCTCCGCCTACGCCCCCACTGACTGCAGTTCGGATGAAACGAAGGATGAGTTCTACCAAAAGCTGTCTAGTTTGGTGAGAAAGGCTAAACGCTCAGATATAGTCGTTCTAGCTGGTGACTTCAACGCTCAAGTAGGGAAATTGTGTCAATCTGAGAAGGATGTCGGTGGCACCTATGGAGTTCCGTGCCAGCGAACCGACAACGGTGACCGTCTCCTACAGTTCTGTTCAGATAATCATTTGTTTCTTGTAAGCACTAACTTTAAACACAAGGAGAGACACTGTTTAACCTGGCGACCCCCATCATCAAACCAACGCTGGACACAAATAGACCACATAGCAATAAGCTATCGTTGGCGTGGGTCGGTAGGAGATTGTCGCTCCTTCTGGAACACGTGTGTAGATACCGATCATGCACTGGTCCGGGCTCGTGTGTGCTTACGACTGAACGGACGTAGGAAACAGCTGGCGGTAAAACCATTACGCCCCCAGCTCGATCAGGAAACTAAATCCCTATTTGAGGAAGAACTAGCTAAACGCATATCTGAATCCGACAGCTGTGCTCACCCTGGAGAAGCCTGGAAGAATATTCAGTCAGCTATAGATACAGCTGTAAAAGCTGTGAATAAGACAAATCCAAAGGTGAGTAAAAACCACTGGATTTCGACTGCCTCATCCGAACTGATAGATGCTAGAAGACTTATTCCGGCGAGCTCCGAATTCAATGAGGAGCGAAAGCTGCACAAAAGGAAACTTACTAAAAGTCTCCGCAAGGACCGTGAACAGTGGTGGGTGACAAAGGCGAAAGAGATGGAAAAAGCATTGGCGATAGGCAACACTAGGCAACTCTTTAGACTCATCACAGAATCGGGCGGGAAAAGGCAATTCATAAGTGAGACTATTTCTGAGAAAAATGGCTCCTTAATTAGCTCTCAGGATAGACGCCTTGAACGCTGGAAAGAACACTTTGAGGAACAATTTAACTTGCCTACAGCCACACTGAACCTCCCCGCCATCCACCACGTACCCGAATGGGATATAGACACTGGTCCGCCGTCTGTAGGTGAGGTTACAAAAGCTATCAGTAATTTGAAACGAGGCAAAGCGGCAGGACCCGACGGAATTATTCCGGAGGTGTTTAAATATGGGGGTGACATACTAGTTTGTAGATTAACTGAGGTACTAGGCAAAGTCTGGGAATCAGAGACAGTACCATCAGACTGGGGTAAGTCACTCATTATACCGATATTCAAGAAGGGAAACAAGTCCTCGTGTGATAATCATAGGGGGATCAGCCTAACGAACATAGTCTCTAAAATCCTAGGCTCAGTAATCATGCATAGACTAAGCAGAACTCGGGAGGAACAGACAAGGGAAAATCAAGCAGGCTTTAGACCAGGTAGAGGGTGCATAGATCATATCTTCACTCTTCGACAGATTCTAGAACATAGACACACTTTTCGGCGTCCAACAATTGTCATATTTCTTGACTTGAAGGCGGCCTTCGACTCCGTGGACCGAAAAGTACTATGGCAATGTCTGACTGTGAAGGGAGTGCCAAGAAAGTACATTGCACTAATCAAGGCACTCTATTCAAACTCACGTAGTCGTGTAAGGGCTTATGGGGAATTGTCATCTGAATTAGTAACAACCAGTGGTGTCCGACAGGGATGTCCACTTTCCCCATTTCTGTTTAACTTCATCATAGATATGCTAATGGAAGTATCCTTAACTGAACGTAGTGACTTAGGAATCGACTTGTTACCAGGGAATAATCTAATGGACTTAGAATATGCAGATGACATAGTCCTGTTAGGGGAGGATGCTGACAAAATGCAGAGTCTTCTGAACACCTTGAGCAGCAATCTTCGTATGTTTGGCATGCGATTCGCCCCTGCAAAATGTAAGATGCTGCTACAGGACTGGACGACGTCAACCCCTAACTTAGTGATAGGGAGTGAAGTGATAGAACATGTTGACCACTTCACCTACTTGGGAAGTTGTATTAGCACCAACGGACTGATTGGCGATGAAATCTCAGCACGGATCCGAAAAGCTCGAGCTGCTTTCGCTGACTTACACCATCTCTGGCGTAGGCGTGACATCCGGTTATCAACCAAGGGACGTGTGTACTGCTCATCAGTTCGCTCCGTCCTTCTCTATGGCTCTGAAACATGGCCAATACGCGTTGAAGACATGAAAAGGTTGACTGCTTTCGATCATAGATGTCTGCGATCTCTGTCTCACGTTAGGTGGTTTCACAAGATAAGTAATGTTGACGTTAGGCGTAGAGTGTTGGGCAAAGAGGGAAAATCAATCGACGAGGTTATAAAGTTACATAGACTAAGATGGCTAGGTCACGTGGTGCGCATGCCTAACCACCGCCTCCCCCGACGGGCATTGTTAGCTGATATAGGTTCAGGTTGGAAAAGAGCCAGTGGTGGCCAAACAAAAACATGGCATCAATCCATGAAATCCTTGACAGTTAAACTGAGTCAGGTAGGGAGATGCAGACTCCCGGGTTGGGGCCCTCGGGACTCTAGGAATCAATGGCTGGAGACAATAGGTGACATGGCTCAAAATCGTTGTCAATGGCGCAGATGTATTCAATCTCTGTAATCTTTCATATTCCTTTCTACCATTACCCATTCTGTTTCACTCCTATATTTGTCAAACTCTATTAATTCTCTCCACTCATCTTCTTGTCTACCTCTGTGTGCTATTTGGAACGTGGCAACTCGAACTGCTGCACTTCGGTGCCAAGTTCTATGTTGAATCCAGACAGACAGACAGACGTAAAATTGTATTCATAAAAGTGTATTACTCTTAAATAATGATGAATTGCCTTTATATTAATGAAAATACGTGTTTGGAGGGATATTGCTGCAGGCGATAAATTTGTACTCATTAGTAGGACGTAGGTGCGACATCAGTGGGACTAGTTTATCCCACCTCTTGCATTGTGGAAAATACTGCTTACATAAGCCTTGTCTTTGGTATAAAATCAACAGTCAGCCATGTTACGGGTTCAAGTGTGGGTAGTTCTGTGTGTAATTGATTCTGTTTCTTTTTCACATAGCTAGTAAATGCTACCTCACGAATGCTAAAGGTATTTATGTTTTCATTTATAAATCTCAACGGCTTATAGTCGAGGTTATTTCCTTCAGTCAATCGTAGAACATTTACTCGACTGATAAACTGTGCGTATCTGTTTCCCATTGACTCTTGTACTCAGCTGACTTAGTAATTATTCTTTACTTGAAGATTATTTTTGGTAAGCTAATTTTTATTCACCTTGAATTCATAGTAACCTGTGAATTTCACATCGCGCACCTCCACATAGTGCACTCAGTACAATGGAAATCTGGTATCGTATAAATATATACATATATGTATGTGAGTACTGAGCTTTTAGTTGTACTTGATATTGAAAAAAGTCTCAGCAGTTAATGCCATTTTTAAAATTCATATTTAATCTTTCATACGGTCTTTTATCTTATAGTCACTTAGTTACCAGCCTTGCCAACCCCCTCAGTTCAAAGGTGGATGAATGGCGGCGTAACTTGTATCAGTTGGAAAAAGATAGAACTCGTCAAACAAAAAGAGTCCGTGCAGAATTAAAGAAAGCTGTGGCTGAAGCACAAAAGTGGGAGAAAAAAGCTGCTAAAATTGGCATTATTGGCAGTGGTGGTGTTGGACCTGGTGTGGGCCATGGTATTATACCTTCATCAAATCTTGCGTGTTCCAATTCTGAATCAAATGCCATAAACATACAGGCTGCGAAAGCTGCGCGGGAGGTCGGAATTAAGAAGGAGCTAGTTGAAAACACTGAAAAATCTGCCATTCGTCTGTTACTGCTTGAAGAACGAAGTCGGTTCTGTTTCTTTGTTTCCTGTCTCCTTCCAATCCTCGTAAGTTACTCTTAATAAACACCAGTAATATTTGTAATATCAACTGTCCAGTATGATTTCTGTCCATTTAGTTTCTTACAGCTGATTTATTTTCCTAATCATGTGTCAGTCTGCACTAAAGATTGTATCTTTAAATGACTAAATATCCTTACAGATTGACCAGTTATATTTAAAGCTCTAAGGTTTGTAGTAATAATGCTTTATTTGATGCGAATTGCCAATTTTCATTCGCAAAGAGTACTAGAAGTGTACAGTACTTAGATCATTAAGGTGAAAATGTTTATTTCAATGGTGTATTCTATTTATTTAGTGGAATACTATATACCTAAGTTCTTATGCGTGTAGCAGCTATGATTTCGACACAGCAGTAATACAGAATATTTGTAGCTCAGGTGGATAATTTGCAATTAGTTTTGTACACTGAGCTGATTGGTTCAACTGCGGAGCGTTCATCGTCCTTCTGGACAACATCTTCAGCGCAAGTTTTAACATAAAATGAACTGATTTAATTTCTCCATGAATGATAGAATTATGTCTCCTGGCAACCATCTTCGTGACTGATAGTCTACAATTAAACCAACCAGCTCAGATAACACAAGTAATTGCACAACAATAATTCACATGATTAACCATCTTGTTTTAATTATTGACTATTATTTGATGCATATGGTGTCTACATAATGTTGTTTCCATAGTATGGTGAACAGTTGATAAGGGTCGAAGTATCCTGTTTAGGGTTTTCCGTGCTTTCCGATGTTCGTATACTTGACTGTTTTAACTCCAGGCTAGGGGTTTGTAAACTTCAGCATAACAACAACAGTTTTGTAGTAGGTATGTACTCAGAAAGCACGGTAGTAGATAAGAGAATTTATGGAAATTAGTAGCATTTAGTAGCGACCTTTAAGTTGGGTCGGTACATTTTAAACTTCTCAAGTCAGTGATTTTTACGTACTCAATCTGTCTTAAATAAACTGTGTAGATAACATTTACTCTAGCATTTGTATAATAACCGTAATTTATATCCAATGTCGTTCCTAGGACTGGCTTTATCAACCTGTTTATTTGTTGTAATTTAAAGGTATTGTATTGTGTCGTTCTTATATCTTCGTTTCAGGAATGCCAATCAAGTATGTTAAACGAAATAGCCACCATGGATGAACTTATTCGAGCATTAACAAAGGAAACTGAATACCCAAATCAGTTGGTTGAAGATGTTGAGTCGATTGTGTTGAGAATGGGACGACGTGATATCTCAGTTTCTTCTCGAGGGAGTAATAAAACTATGTCATTATTTGTATCTGACTCTGGAGATAAGACGAGTACTAGTAATGAGGTTTTAGGTGGCTTATACATGACTAATGGTAATCGAAGTTGTGTTACTTCAAGTGATACGGAATCTGGTCGTCATGGTGCTGATATGATGTTACCATTTCAACTTCGTCGAGATACCAATTCAGTTGGCCGGTGCAATTCTGTATGTGACAGTGGAGATATTTCACTATGTGGAACAAGTTCACATAGCGGAAGTGGTGGAAGTAATTGTCCGTCTCTTTTATCTCCTGTTCGTCACAATATCGCTCGTTTGGGCAGTCGTGAGTCAAGCCTTATGTCCGTGGATAGTGCAGCTTCTGGAAGTGGAAATGCAAATCCCTCATATTCTATTGGAATATCGAATACAAACATGATGCATTCTGATTCCGTGAGTTACTCTGCTTGCTTTATTTTCAGAAATGATCTGTTTTGTATTGAATAGGTTGATTAGTCCCCCCTAGGTGTTAGAAAATTCGTCATGTAATTTATTGGCTTAAGACATTTCACTTCCAACCAGTCGGTTCTGAGTTCAGACACACTTCATATTATTTGCATCTGGCAGCCTAGTATAGTCAGTCATAAACCTTCGCCCTATCATGTGCCTCTTATAACTTAGCACATTAAGAAAATCTCTGCTGATTAACTCATTTGCTTTATTACTGAGAAAATAATTAGATAGGTTTTGTGCACTGTTGGAAATGCATGAAGTTGATGTCTTGCTGTAACAACTGAAAGAGAATGAAATTTATCTTTGTATAACCTCAGATCCTATACAATTGCTTTCATGCGTAGGTTATTTCAAAAATGTATGGATTTTTAGAGTTGTGTCCGTCGCTTTATTATCGGCGTCAGGCAATTTCGGAATAGATTCAGGTGTTATGCATCTAAATACCACCCGTCATGCCTCTACTGAGAAGATAATATAGCTTGAATGCTGCTTGTTTGGTAAAACTACAAAACTGTTGTCACAATAAAAATTTTACCTACAGGTTGTGATCCTGTGTTTTCCGATATGATGAGACTAAGAAAAAGCTGTAATAGCTAGACTAAGTTATTGGGTCATTGGCACATTCAACCCTGACCATCATTTATCAAGGACTGTTTTGCTAGCGTATTTACTTATTGATAGACTGAGGAATGTTGTGGGCGTTCAGAAACATGTCTATTAAAAAATTTCACTACATGTAGAAGTTTAATGTGTTACTGAGCGCGAAAATTCATTCTAATTATTTTTATGTTTTATACGTTTGCTAAATTACCATGTGGATTTCACCATAAACCGACATTATTCAGGGAGTCATTAGAAACCAAGATGCACTGGGGCTTTTATTATACCCACATTTGGGACTCTCCAACAGTTTTTACCCATGACCCCATCAGGGATCACTATTTGACATATGTTGTGTGTTATCCCGGTGTTTGCTACTTATAGAAAACAACCAAACTAACTACCTTCATAGCCTCATTTTTATTTTGCAATTACTCCCATTCCTTTTGAAGTATATTCATACGCTAGACATTAGTTAGATTTGTTTTTAAATTCACCATCACAATATGTAAACTTCTTTGAGGTTATTTCGAATTTCCCTTTGGTTTATTATATTGGACTGAAGTGCTTGGTCCCCTGTTCACATGTCAGCCCCCATTATTGAAGCTTCGATAATACCTTCAAATGAATACGGTGTTACTTAGTTGATGGTGGCTAGCAGTAGAGTCAGGAACTCGCGCGCCTCAAACTCTCCAGGACTCCCCATCTGCATCCTCCGGGAAGTGATGGTGTTCTCGCTCAAACTCGAACCCAAAACCCACGATTTCAAACTTCAAAGCTTTCTTCACTTTGGTTGCTATATTCGAGTCTCGTTAGGCGTACAGTCCACTCTCTGAGGATTCATCCAACTAACTAGTCCTAAATAGAATGAAACGTGAGTCCTGGGTTTCACTACCAACCAAAGTCAACCAAATAACAGAGTATAAACTTTCTAAGTCCTGCATAAACAATTTCACACCTTAGTTATCCGCTAGTCATTCTATCAATCAGATAAAGTTTAATTACAAGAGGTAATTAACACAAATGTTTCAAGTTTTATTATCATTTTCAATAATTAAATTTAGTCTGAAATAGTTTGTAAATTAAAATATATACATACATAGTCTAAGTGAACTAGTTTTGTGGGACCAGGAGGGGAAAGAGAGAGAGAGAGGGGCGGTCAAGTTATAAAATCTATCTTGTGTAGAACGAAACAGTTTTATTCTGTTATCAAAGTTCTCTGGAACATTTGTAAATCTATGCATTCAAGGCTTTATCTCTCTTTTTACTGTCCCAGTTTGGAACATAGTAGAAATCCATATGCGTGTGTGTGTGTGTAATAAGACCCAAGTCTTCATTTTAATCACTGGGGCGTTCAGCTGGCTGCCGTGTTATTAAGAGCTGTATAATTGCCCAGCCGTCTCTGTAGTACTTCAATCAATAGGAACACTAACCCAGTCAACTTATTGACTGAATTTAAACTCAGAGCTATGCACAGTAGTTACAGGCCAGTGAACTACAGTCAGATGTTTCAAATCTCATCATGATTCAGATTTTCGTATTGACTTAAACCATCATTGCTAGTCCAATCGACTATTAATTATTCAAATTGTTTGTTTGTGACAACTGAAAGTTTAATTACTAACTGACAGTAATTATTACTACTACTATTACTAAATTTTCATTAAAACCTCTGCTTATTTGTTCGATGAATACAAGTAATATTTTTATTTATCTAAGGACATTGACCTACTACCACTACTAACTACTACTGCTATCATTGATTGTTCACTTGAATGACTAGTGACCTTAAAATGTGATATTTAGTTGTTGCTGTTGTCGTTGTTGTTGTTGTTTGGCCCTATGGATAAGCACTGGTTGTTACATAATCTCTTCTTTCTTCTTTTCTCCTCTAGTAACTAGACAGTGCAAGTGATTAGGCTTAGCTGTATACCCGTCCATATATATATATATATATATATAATGCCTGTACTCTTGCTTGCCTATCTTCTTATCAAAGATGTGTGGTTATGAAGAGATAACAATTTCACTTAACAGTTAATGTTACTCATAATGATAAGTATATTGATAAACACTGACTAACTGGCTGGATTTCAGCATAGAAATCTTCACAAGTTACCACACTCCATTTAGCACAGTTTGGTGACAAAAAGAAAAAAAAGTAAATTCAAACGAACTGCCATGAGTAGAATAATAACATGGGAAAACAATTGAGGTTAATGGGTCTGGGAGATCATACACAGTGAAAGCATTTGTGCCATGGAGAACGATTTCTAGACATATCACCAATCGTCTCCAGCCATTGGTTCTCAGCATCCGGTGGACTCCAACTAGACAGACAGTCAACACCTCCCTATGTGGCTCAAACTAACTATCGAAGATTTCATGGATTGATTCCAAGTTTTGGTGTAACCACCACTAGCTGTATGCCAACCCGGCCCTATGTCAGTTAACATATCCCGTTAAGGAAGGCGATGACACACACGGCATGCGCAACACATATTCTAGCCATCTCAATCAATGTAGCTTCACAACCTCATCGATTGGCTTTCCCTCCTTAGCTAACACCCGACGCCTAAGCTCAAAATTACTCGACCTACTACACCATCTAACACGGGAGACAGAATGCAGACACCTATGATCAAAGATAGCTAGCTAGTCTTTTCATGTCTTCCACTTCCACCTGCCGTGTTTCACAGCCATACAAGAGGACCGAGCGAACTGCTGAGTAGTGAACACGTCATTAGTGACTAGCGCCAGTGTTCAGGACGCCTGTTCCACACCTGTTTGGGACTTTTTAGCTAGATGTACCTGGATCATCAATGTGTGACAGGAAATCGAATCTGACACCCATCCTAATCATAATCATGATAATAATTTTTTCTCCGGATCGTCATCTTTTAGCTGATATCGTTCATATCAGTAGTATCTAATTCCATTTCAGTTATTCGTGCAATGCAAAAATTAATTTCAATATATACTGGCGGATGGCTGTTTTTCATTCCTTTTAAAAAGAATCCACTCAGTGCCAAATTATCAAGTGTAGTGACGCATATATATATATATATATATATATATAGTGAATTCCTTAATTTACAATTCAGTCCCCGAGGATTTTTATTTTGCTTTTCATCTGTCACATGCATAAAGTGACAATCACAAAAATATTATGAACTGCTTTTTCATATGAATCGAACTCGCATTCTTCAAATAACACATTTCGAGGTGAGAAATTATTCAGATCACAATATGTGATCTGCCTGATACAATCAATGGCAATCCCGGAACACAGACATAAATATTTTGCATTTCCAATGAAAACCGTGGTGAACTGTCAAATCTCACGCTGTGTGATTTGCTTCTATGGATTTCTAGTTCACTCATTTAGGTTGGGTGGTTTGAAATGACTCCGTTGTATTGACCTGTGTCATACTGCATGCTCTATTGATATAAGATCGTCCTGAAATGCCCGAAAAGACCGTCCTGTATGCAGATCACTTCACAAGCACTCATATAAGTTAGTAGTGTGTGCCATCAGATAAATATTAGCAAGACAAGACGAATATTAGTTACATGGAGGATTGCATTATGAGCTGACATCAGTTAGAGAACCACTGGAAAACCCGGGAGTACTGGACAGCTGTTTCGTCCCAGTTTGGGACTTCTCAGAACTATGCACCCACCGAGACTCGAACCCAGGACCTTCTGGCTACAATGCGAGCTCGTAGACCACTGAGCCACTGGGACCCGATCCAGTGATCCTTGAATTCTAACTTCTGCCAATTCACGACATAGCGCGACTATTTCGCAATGTCTTCTTCGATGATTTACTGCCTCATCTTCAGTACTCCCAGGTTTTCCAGTGGTTCTCCAACTGATGTCAGCTCATGATGAAGTTCTCCATGCAATCAAACCAAATCCTTACAAAACCAATACTTGAATATTAGTTAATCACTGCAGGTTATTCACTGCTAGAGGAATGAATTAGGAGACCTACTGTATAACTGTAAATTCCCGAACATTAGAGGCCAGTTGGCTTAAAATCAATAATAGTACTAATAATGCCTTAGTATACAACTGCTTTTCCATTCTATTAATTTCTTCCTGTTGTTGTGTTGTGTACTCGATGAATTTTCATACCTGGAGTTTTAAAAAATAAACTATATTATAAAATAGAATGTTTGTGCAAGTCATCACATGTTCAGTGAGTCAGTAATTAAAACTTGTAGAAACTTGTTTAGAAAGAAAGCGTTTCTATGCATATCATTAATTTATGAGGAAAACTGCATTTAATAATTTTCTCTTCGTCGTAATCTCTGTCTTAAAACCCACTTTATCAG